AAACTTTTCTTTTTAAAATAAAAGTCTCAACAAATTATTCAACCAGGTGTTTCTTTTTCACTTTGAGCCAACCAATAAGTCTTCATTCAGCTTCATCTTCTAGCTCACATTTCAAGCTCACTTACCATAAATATTCATATACATTTCCAAGAACAATTCATCGTAAATTAATTTTGTTCAGCCAAAATGTTCATAATTTATCAACATCTCATAAAATTCAACAACCTTTTTTGACTCAAAAGAGCTCTCATTGCTTGTGTTTAACGAGTAACCTAATTTTTACTTCTCAACGCCTTCACATTATTGTTTGGATGCGTAGGCACTGGAAACTCAATTTGATTCTATTTCATAAATTCTTTAAACATAAATCCTTCAATGTGTTTTCTTAGATTTCCCCTTTAAGCTATTAAAGGTTCACATAGAGACAACAGTAGATTTAGATTTATTAGTGTTGATATGAGTTTTAGGGGTTGTTTTTTGTTCAATGATTCAGTTGACTTTTAAAAGAAAATTTTGGGACAGGTTTTGATATTTTCAGAGCTCGAAGTCGAGACGAAAAAAGTTGAGTAGACTCGGTTTTGAGTCGAGTCGAGTCAACTCGAACCCTATCGAATTCGAGCTCTGGATATTCTTAATAGTTCTAAAATGTTAAACTACTATTTTGTAAACCTATGATTTTTTTCCTTATCCAAACTTCCACTTGCAAAAAAATAAGGATCATCATCATTATGGTCAGAAGTTCAACAGTTACATTTGATTAGGCAACGCAAGCAAAAAAAGCAAACATTGAAAATGAGCTACAATAAAAAGCACAACCAATTCAGACATAACAATAATACAATCGTCTTATTTTCTTTCAATTCGTTTATCGCAAACGAGAAAATGAGAAAAGTAGGAAAGGAAAGTAAACGATGTTAAGTATAAACACATTTCTTTTCATTAAATCTTAAAAGAAAATGAGGAAAAGATTTTGAAGGGAATGAAATAAATAATGATATCATTATATCATCATACGACACATACACATATTTTGTAAGAAAAGTATGTCGCGTATACCTTGAAAAAACAAAGCTTTTACAACGAGAAACAGAGGGAAACCTTAAAAAATATACAAGATCAGATTTTGCTGAATCTGAACAACTCGAAAACGACAGTTGAAATGTATTTCAATGTAATAATTTATTAAAGTGAGAAGTTCTAATAATATTTGAAGTGGAAGTTACCAATTAGATCATCAATGAGTCAGAAAACTTTGAGTAGTAAAAAAAACTTTGTGAGACTTTCAAACGTTCATCAAGTATCTGATTGAGACAGTAGACATGCAGTTAACCTATAATAAATCATGAATGGTAATTAAAAATATTTTTTGAAAATGATAATTATAATTTATCAAGAATGAGTTCTGTCAACAGATCAAAATTAATTTAACAATTTAAACACTGTGATAAAATTTATGCTGATCTATGACTGAACAATCTCAAATCTTTAAAGTTTTTTCCTCCCACACTGGATGTTTGTTGTTATTCAAAACAAAGCATTTAAACTTTTCAAAATAATTAAAGGTTTCTGAATGCTAATGACTTGAGATTTATGATTTAAATGTCAGAGTAAATGAAAAGGTTTTAAGTGTTATTTAGAAAAATCTCGGTTTTCGTCTGCTTGGATTTTTTGATGAAAGTCAAGTCCTCTATTTTTTATGTTTTAAAAATAAAAGAATATTTTTAATTGACATGAAGTGTGTCTTCTATTTTTTAAAAATGTCTGATCAACTTAATGGTATTTAAACCAAATCTTGAACTTGTACCCATAAAAAAATCTCAAAATAAAGATTGTTTTCCGATGTCAATCATCTCTAATCTTACTGTTGTCGTAGCAAATCAAAAAATACTTATTTCATGTGCAATAAATAAAAAAGTTGATAACTAAGAATCATCACAGGTTTTACGACTGCCGCTTTTTTGTCTCTGAGATAGCATTAAATAAAAATTACATGCGATAACAAGTCAACTGACGTGAGAGCTTTAAGAAATGCTTCTTTGCGACAAGACGGAAATTTAAATCCCCATTCCAAATTACATGTAAGAAAATAAAATATCTCGTACAATTTTTTTTATCATCATTTTCATTTCCGTTCGCATTTTATTGAAAGCTTATCGTTGAATATAGGAAATGTTATTATCTATTATTTCATTTCCCATGACATTTGAAGCTTTTTATGTTATGCTTCATAATGGATAATAAAATTCAATGAATAAGATTTAAAGAATATAAAAGATAAAGCAACTTGTAAAACTGTTGAACGAATTTGGATTTGAGTCTGGATTTAAATTGAAATTCGGGATGTCTACAAGCTCAAAATGTTTTCAACTCTAAGGGAGGACGCTTAAATGTTAATATGATAATTTAAAAAATTTCAAAACTTTCTATGTAGCTTCAAAAAGCTGCTCCAGATCAAAATGAATCAATGTGAAATGGTTCATCCTCTCAGGCAATATTGAGAACCAAAACCTTTAAAATTGCTTCTTAAAGACAATTTAACAGACATTGGAGAGAACTTAATCTTATCCTTAACATAAACATATAATTATTGCCAAAACCAGACATTAAGAGGAAGAAAATCTCCAGCAGAAGACAGATAAAAGTACAAACCAAAATAAATTGGATAATCATACCTCGAAAACATAATTAATGATCCCCAAGGTACCACTTGAAATGCTGATCAAAATGATATGCCGAAAATGTAAAATCAAAATTCCCAATTTTTTTCCCAATACAGTTAAAAAACAAATAAATGACAGAATAATAAAATTAAACGGAAATGGAAAATTCCTTTTTCACGAAAAGCTTTTATTTTTTCACAAAATTACATTTGTGTTGTTGGAAATAGATATTACGAATCCAGCAATTCCGTAGAAATCACATGTGTAATGCTGTGTCCTTGATACATATGTTGCTTTATTAAATCAATCTTTTGACTTTCACCGAAAGGAAATAAATTAATTTTGTCATCTCAAAAATTCTAGCATATTAATCTTCACCATTTTAGCTACCAATGCAATATTGACGGTAATAACCACAATTTACAACACGTTTAATAAATGTCATAAAAAACAACACTAATGTCCCTCAAACTGAGAGAAATATATCCAAATATATCAACCAAAAACAGCAAGACATGTTGAATAGCATCATTAAATAAAGCCAAAATTATTGGCATCATAAAATAATCTAGCGTCATTTGTAGCTGAAAAAAAGATCGTAAACTACAAAATAATCGTAAAATGATGTCAAGTGAGCACACAATTAAATGATTTTTTTATAAAATATTGCAGAAATTTTTTTCTTTTCACAATGAAAAAAACATAAATTGTCATTCATTGATCACGACTGTGCCAAAGCTTTATCAACTCTTTATTTCCACTTATTGCTTTCCTAGTCTCAGCTGCTCTCCTCTTCTCTTCATCATCAATTAAGAAGGTCATTTATTTAATGGTCAAAGCTTTGGTGAATGCTTTCAATGTTGAATAAAAGTTTACAGCAAGGGAGTTGAACTTTTGTGAGTAAGAAGTTTTGTAATTCTTTAATTTTGGATTCGAAACAATTAGAAGAACTTAAATGATGGTAAAAAATGTTTGTGGCAGAGTTGGAACTATGCTTTCTCGCTATCGGGATCGGGATCGGGATTTCCCGGGATTTACCGATCCCGATCAATCCCCCGGGATCCCGAAATTTATCGGGATCGGGATTGAAAATCCCGGTTTTTTAGTTTAGGAAATTATTGATGTTTTAGAACCTGCTAAATACGCGACAGAAGAATTATTGCGTAAATCAAACGATTTATTAATTGCTGAAGGAACAATTAAATTTTTGCTAGACGAATTGTTGCTACAAGGAACATTATTGTCTCAAAAGGTTTACGATATGAATTGCGCTCGCATAGGTGCACGAAGAAATGGAACATTAATTGACTTAATACTTTACCTGAATAATCCTCAATATATTTCTTTAGACAAGCATTTTAAATCGTCAACAAAAGCTGCAATACATAAACTTGGCATTGACTTATTGAAGAAGTATTTTGTCAAAAACTCTACAAATGGTGCTATGGAAGCTTCAACATCCAGTGCAAATCAAATCCAACCGTCAAACATTTCTATTCGAGATAGACTGAAACTAAGCATATCTGAATATACATCATTAACAACAGATGCAGCAGCAACAGAACCAAATAACTTGAAAAGAGAGTTTAATTGGTATGACAAAAATAAGAAGAGAACCGTTTTATTAGATCAACTTTACGATGCATTGATAACAATGCAGCCGACCTCAACTCAAAGCGAACGAAATTTCTCTATTAGTAACAACATTCTTACAAAACAAAGAAAACGTTTACTTGACAAAAATCTAAATGCAATTGCATTTGTTAAAAGTTTTTTCATTAATGCTTAATTTTTATTATTATATTCACACCGTTTTCTATAACCTTTTAACTTACATCTTTAGCAACATTTATTTTCTATTTTTGTTTATGTTCACATTTTTCAAAGGAAACATGGATTAAAACATCTACCTTGTAACACATAAAGTATAACTAATTAATTAAGGAATAAATGACCGTATAAGTAGCAAAAAAATATATAATTTTTTTTGGGAAAAAAAGCAGAAAAGTGCAGTTTTTTAAATTTTTTTACATATTCGGGATTCCCGGGATTTCCCGGGAAATCCCGAAAAATTTCAATCCCGATCCCGATCCCGAAAATTTGTCGGGACCGGGATTTCGAGAAAGCATAGTTGGAACTTAAGACTTGTACAAGAAAACTTTAAAAATTTTCTGTAAAGTTTTATCTAATTGCAATAACATCTGACTTTAACATTTGGAATATGGTTTGAAAAAAACTTTGCAGCATAAAATAAGATATCATCACTTCTGTTGTTTTGCTTTCCTTCACACAAGTTGCAAATAAAGAATCCAAAAATTAATTGAATTAAAAAAGTTCTATCTAAATTCCAGAGTAACGAATATCCTCAGATAGCATCTTGAATGTTGCGCGACGGTCATCACCTCTCGTATAAACAAAAGTTGCTACAATCAAGATTACATTAAACCCCATTATCATTCGCACTTCTATTCGGAATTCTAAGTGTTGGAACAGACTGTAATTGGGTTAACGAGAAAATCACTCTTTCGTATTTCCTGGTAATTACGCCCTTCAAAAATTTGTGACAGCTAAAAAAATTTCAAGCACATACAACTGAAAATTCTATTGTTCGGTGCTGTGAAAAATTTATGTCATGAGTGCTTTCCGAGTGAAAAAAATGTGGAAAAAAAAAAGTCATAGCTTTTGAAAACTGAGTTTTTTGACATCTATGAAAACCTTTATTTTCCACCTTTTTATTCTCAAAAGCTTCAAGGCTCGCACATATCTGTGCATGGTGTTCAGAAATTTTTTTTTATGCAAACTCATCATGACCAGAACAATGATCAAAATATGATTACTCTCGGAAACTTTTTCACTGATCACGACATTATGATTTTCTTTTCCTTCCTCATACGTACCTTTTGACTCACCATAAATGCCGACTGACAAGCATGAATTGTGATTTTTTTTGGAAGAAAAGTAATTTTGTGTAAAAAAGCTATGTGGGATGCTATTATATGATAAGAAAAGTCTAAATTGATATTTTTTGCTTGAACCTTTTTGACACAATAATGGCTATCCAAACGAGATTTCATTATGTCTTTAGCAAGATTGTTATATGTTGTAATTGAAAATTTTCAAGGTTTTGAAACGTCGAAGAAAAATTTTTTGACAAGTTTTAATAAAAAAAATCAACCGAATTTTTTTAAAACTTTTTCGGCCTGTTTCACTAAGGTGGATTATCCACTTTTTCAATTCGAGGACAATCCATAAATTTTTTTACTACAGCGTTAAACTGCAATGAGGATAGTCCACCTTAGTAAAGCAGGCCGTTTAAGTTTTTTGAAATTTTTAAAATTGAGTAAATGAGAAGTTTGTTTTGATTTGCACACATTTCACATGCTGAATTCCAGAAATCAAAAAATTGTAGACTCATAATAAAGTTGCTTTACGAACATTGCTTTTGGATCAAAAAATAATTTTTCTTAATTTGATAAGTAAAACTGAACTATTTTTTTAAATGAGCGTCGTGTCAACTCTTCAACATATTTTTTATTCAATTTTTCGGACATTTAGATACTTGCATGACATTTAACAGCTAAGTAATATACTCATACTTGTAAAAAATAAAATCTTAAGGGTCAAAGAATAAACATAATCAGCCTTAATGTAATTTATGAATTATAAACTCTTTTAATTCTTATAATAAATCTTTTTGAAACGGTTTCTTATGAAATTTTGACATAAAACTAAAGCAAAACAAACGAAATAAATTGAAGAAAATGTAAAATGTGAAATAAAAATGAAAATCAAAATAGCAAAAGATTTGATAATAAGGGGAAGTAAGTTTTTCGTCCAAATAATTTTATCGACATTGTAAGTATTACAAGATCTTTCAATTCCATTAAGTATATAGTAAAACAAAGTTTTAAAAATGATGTAAATCATAAACTCAGATGAATACTCATATTGAACGACCAATAAATCGAAAATTAGAACTAAAATAAACACTAAAAAGGAACTATTTCTATCATTTATATTATAGAAGGCCAATATCCACAACAAGCCAATAGCATGCACTGTTAAGGCTATTGGAATGATTTTGTAATACATGAACCAGTAAAATTTCATACCAAATGCCATCTGACTTTGATGCTTAAGATTTTGAAAGTGGTAATATATCGAGTAAAATGCACTAATATTGCATGTTATTGCTATTGCAGCTAAACTAAATTTAGAAGCATATTCTACTGGCACTAGGTGTTCATAATTGTTTACTAAACCCATGACTTGATTGATTATTGAAAAATTATAGAATGTTGCTATTATTACACGCCAAATCGTATATGCTAAACTTTTTTCTTCACTTCGCCACTATAAAAAAATAAGAAAGCAACTTAATTTAAATTAAAATTTTATTTTTTTGCCGCTTATAAAATACCTGTGATGATAAAAATCTTATCGGCTCATAATGCTCAAATCCAAATGATAAATTAATTGTCATGATGTTTTTTAAAAGTTTTATATTTTTTATTGATCAACTTAATAGACTCCAGTAATAACTACAAATGAATTAGAAACAATTTTACGAGAAGATTTTTAAAAGTAATTTTTGTCTCTCGTAATTTTTAGGAGCATAGCCAAGAAAAAAATTGAGATATTATCAGCCCAGTATTCTCAAAAAATATTCTTTTAAAAAATGTATTCGGTAATTTTTAAAATTTATGAAAAATCATGGATGCAGTCAAGGAAAAAGGGGTCGATAATTTAAAGATAAATTATTAATGAAGAATCAAATAAAATCTCAATCTTTAAAGTCGTAGTAAATATTAAGCATGTAGAAGTGATAACTTTTAACATGGATTACAAGAAAAATGTACCTAAATGCATCATGTTGTGTCTACAGATTTGCAAGTCATAGATTGCAAACTTCATTTTAAAAGAAGATCTATCTAAGCCATAAAAAGAATCTATAATAATTCCAAATTTCATTCTGTAGTATCATTTTCTCTCACAATAGTTCATTTAATATGCCAAAGCGCTCTTTTATTCAACCATCAAAAAAATTAACTCACCGAAAATCACCTGTGTAAATATTTCAATAAAATTACAACACCTCACTCAAACTATTGTAGTGCCTTAGATTAAAGCCTCTCTGTATTAAAACCAATTCTTAAATTAATTTTCGGTTTACCTTTAATATCCCAATAATAATGAGATTTATAATTTAGCAATTACCCAATTGACTCGATTATTCAATTTATGGTTTAATTTAAATTTAAATCAATTATTGAACAACTTAATAATATATCATAATTAAATTTCATGTCATTTCCTACTGAATAATAAATTCTGAGCTATTTTTGTAACCAATCAATTAAAGCAGCAGTCAGCCAAATTGCAATCTAAACAATCCATAAATTGATTACTAAACAGACCAGTGTTTCAACCAGAGGTCGAAGCCGACTTGAGTTCGCTCCGGTTCGGCTAAAAACCGATTGATTTTTGTATGGAATTTTTTCTGATTTCACTTGTGAAGTATAACTTTTCATACAAAATTCAATCGGTTTTTAGCCGAACCGAAGCGAACTCAAGTCGGCTTCGACCTCTGGTTTCAACGTGTCAGCTTGTCAACAAATCTACAACAGCAAACCAAATACCCGAATTTGTTATTTTTAGAAACAAAGCTAGAAAAAACATTTGGCTTGGATTTGTGCCTTTTTGATTTATTTTGTGAAATATTAGTAAGCAAAAAGTCTCAATTGAAACAGCACAAAGCTATTCAAAAATGAAATCAAAGTTAGTTCCAAGAAATTTTCAATAATATGTGACACGAGCAAATATCAAATAATTAAATCTTTGTTAGCTTTCCACTGATCCGTAAATTTTGTTGACACAAGAAAAATTTCTATAAGCAATCGTTTTATGTTATCGGAAGTACCGTCAATAATAAAAGCTTTTCATGCCTTTTTTGTAATTTTATAAAAGTTAAATAAAAAGTATCGAAATCAATTTTTTGTGATCTGTAAGGCATAACACTGGAAACAAATTACATGGAAGGCCTTTCATTCCTTTTCATTAATTTGATTTTTAACATTTGTTTTTTTCCGTAAAGGAAGTAAAATTTTGTTCATCTGTCTGCTTTTATGATGCACAATTTTATTATCATTATCATCCTACATAGCAGACGGTACAAAGATTCATTGCTTATAAGGAACTTCCAAGTAGTACAAAACTTTAATCATCAAAATATGAAAATTCACATGTTTACATATTTTGATGCAATTGTTGCTTCACAACTCAAAATGAGAAAATTTCATCTTTCTTGAGTCTTGATCTGAAAATGTTTACGTTTCATTTTCCGAGTGACATACAAGTAACATTTGACATATTCTCCATAAGAGCTGTGGTGTCTTTGGCAACTGCAACATAAAATTGACCTTATGTGGGTTCGATTCTCAATTAAGGCTGATCTTATCAATCATCATATAAAATGTTGAAACAGCAACAATTCAATCTCGAACTTATGATTACAAAGGAGTAAATCTAGTGTAGCATCTAAATCTAGCTAATCACTAAACCATTACAACGTCCACTAAGTTTTTTTTAAGTACATGAACTGTAGATATGCAATATCTATTTTTTAAATAAAATTGGTGTAAATGAAAAATCCAAAAAAAAAAATTTCTGTTCAATTTTCAGTGTCTTGACCCATTCGATATTGAACCTTTCGATCTATTTAAATCATAAATTTGAATCCAACTAAATGACGCAGAAAATCCAAAGAAATAAACTTAATCTATCATGCTTTTCTCGGGTAAACGTTACGAGAGAATTTAAATAAGAAAATACGTAAATTTCATCTGCTGCATCATAAAGTTTTGAAGTAAAACTCTAAAAAGCTTTTACAGAATTTTTCATTTCCAACTTTATTTTTATTTACATACTTAATATGACAAAATAAATTCAGAATTTATGGAATTTAATTTTAAAAGAATTTTTCATATAGCAATAAGCTTGGATGGAAAATTCAGCATTTCATAATAAATGTCACTTTAAGCTTAAAATTCATCTTCATTAAAATCAACTTATGTTCATCTCAAAATCTTATCCTTCATAGTATTATCCGACGAATAAAGGTGAAAATAAAGGACATCGTGTAAACACATTAATCGTGTATATGTATGACAGGAAATCAACTTATATAATCTTCTGTTGAAGTTCCCAACGGTAATATTACATTCTGTTTGTATGTTAACATAACCCAAAACTTCATGTTCCAAATTGACAAACAATTGAGACTAATTACGAAATTATTGTTTTATTTAAGAGGTGATTATCATCCTGTACAAAACTGTTTTTCTCCCGCTTAATGGAAATAATATTTTTGACGAAAATTTAAATGCCAATTTTCCCATTCATTTATTATGCATGATCATTTTCAGCATACGTTTTTTTTATTATTCTGAAGTTTTGGTTATGAAATATGACGAGGACTTATTTTCAATAAACTGTTATAGCTTCAGATTTTTTTGTGGATATTTAAATATCCAGAGGGCATTTTAAGAATTTTTCTAGATTTTGCACAATGTTCACACGCTGGAATGTTCAATGCTCAATTTTTTGTTCGCAAAAAAGCTTGTTTATGTTCTCTTTTGTCAGTGATTCAAATTTATATAGAATGTCGCACAATGCATGCAATTCTTGTGTAAAATTTATCTCTTGCTTCATCCATGTAATCCAGTAAACTCATAGTGACAATTGCTTTATGTTCTAACCACAATTATGTACGGTCAGTAAGTGCCTTCATCACTTTTCTCGACCATAATATGATAAACTGCATATTGGAGATGATAAAGCATTTTTGACTCTTGGATGAAGCAAATTTTGTTGATAAATTTCAAAAAACTGTTGTGAACCTATTAGACTGCGTAACTGCTATGTGAGTCATTATTTCTTGTGTTACCGATGCATTACTTAATATCAGAATGACACATATGCAGAACAGGGCTATAAATCCTTTTTGTCTAAGACACGCAAATGAATCACATGCTAATTTCAAAGAATCTCCAATTTCGAATTAAAAATGTCCAATATCAATATACAATCACCGAATTTGTTCCTTTTTTGACTAGTACAAAACACAAATCCGGTCATGATATCATTAGTACCGATCAGAGCTCGAAGTCGACTCCGAGTCAACATGACTCCATACAAAATTTACTGATCAATACTCTAAAATTTCCACACATCATTTTTTACGAGCATAGACACAGTTTTAGCAACAACAGATCTATGAAACAATTAAATTTTAAATCCCCAAGGGAACCATTTTCTCGTTTATTTCAATGCTCAATAGTTTTTCCAATTCACTACAAAAGCACGTCATAATTTGTTTATGATATTGAGCATTTATTTTTCAGTGCATAAACGTGCTGGCATAACTTTCTGTGTTATCAAAAACTGTACACAATCATTTTAAATTGAAATGAATGAGCGTTCCTGATTATATGAGTGTATGCATGCTTTTTATTTTCCATCTACAATTGAAATGAAAATTGTACGTGATAAATTAACATAATAGTTATGATTCTCGTTATATTCATGTTTTATGAACAGATAAATGCTAATTTATGTTGAATTAAATGCAGAAAATGTATTTTAAATTAATTCTATAATAATTCATAATTAAATCCCTGTCATTTAATTTAAACTGCATTCATATTAAAGCTCATGATTTCTTCCACGCAATCTTAAGTCTTTTAAATTATTCACTGAACCATAAAGTTCAAAAGCTTATTTGTGGCCAACTTTATTGTGTAATTCCATCCCATTGTCATACTAAAGTATGCCAAGTGTATGGTGATTCCTCAATGCTTTAAAAAGAATTGTGTGCTTTTTTAGGGGTTTTCTGAAGTATAACATCAAGTCAAAGGCAAGACGAGGCAGCACGCTTGAATATGATTTGAATAAAATCTTAAAATGTAAATTGAGTTGAATCTTATATTCACTTTGACAAATGGATTCCATACAGTGATTTGTGGAATAAAACTCTGTTTTGGTTTGGCGAAAAGAATATGAACTTGATTGGTTTGGAATAGTTTATTCATCTTAAGGATAAAACATAAACACCTGATACAAACAATTCATGTTCGACAGACTTATCGAGAGTCTAGGGGTGTTATAATATGCACGTTTGAAAAATTTAAATTTGAAAAAACCGTTACAATTTTTTTTAGTCATTTTATTGGAGTTTTTGATAGTTTTAAAACATTTTGCTTAATATATGTTTTTATTTTTTCCTAATTTTCGAAAATTTCGAACTGCAGGGTATGCAACATAAAATTTTGTTTGGCAGACAAACAAATAAGACATTTTTACAAGTTTTCTTGGAAACTGTAACTGTCTAAACTGGTCGAAACCATCGAATTGTTCGTATCAGATAAACACTTAGATGACATGTAGAAGAAAAATCAAGAATCTATAAACGTTTATGCTTTTTATCAATTTTAGGAATACATTCAAAGTAAAACTACAAAA